TGACACTGTGTTGCGCGCGCACATCTACGCGCGCTGCGGGGGGAGCGGAAGAAGTGAATTATGCATTACGCGCACACACCGGGGAGGATGCAACAGCCACCCAGCAGGGTTGTCCAGAAAGGGTGCACGGGTGTGGGTACACACATACGCACGTGTACACTTGCGTGGGGTGTACACACACGTGCCTCCGACACACGGCCGCCCCCCAAGTACCGGGCAAAAGCACACTCGCACGCCGGAGGGGCGGCCCTAACAGGTCCCCGCCCATCACGTGACCCGCCCCTTCAAGATGGCGGCTGGCCCGTGACACCCCGCTTCCCCTTCTCGCGACTGCTTCCGGGATTGGCGCCGTGACGCGCCGGTCGTGACGTCAGGGGCCCGCGCGCGCTGGGGCCGCGGCCGGGGCCGGGTTTGGGTTGGGGTTCGGGGCCGGGCCCGGCTAAGATGGCGGCGATGAAGGTGAAGCAGGACGTGGCGCCGAAGGGCGGCTACGGCCCCATCGACTACAAGCGGCACCTGCCGCGGCGGGGCCTGTCCGGTGCGTGTCCCGTGGGGGTGGGGGTGCGGGCGGGGGCGCGGGGCCGGGTGCTGAGCGCCACCTCCCCGCAGGGTACAGCCTGTTTGCGCTGGGCATCGGCAGCATGGTCTACGGCTACTACACGCTCTTCAAGTGGAACCGGGAGCGCAGGTGAGTCCGTCCATCCGCCTGCCCGGCTGGGGTACAGGTCCCTGGGGCGCCTGCGGGCAGCTAACCGCTGCCTCTCGGCGCAGGCGCCTGCTGATTGAGGACCTGGAGGCCCGCATCGCCCTCTTCCCCCTGCTGCTGGCTGAGCATGACCGCAGGTACGTGGGGCCCGCGCGCCGCATCTGCGTCCGCCCGCACCGGCTGCCGACACGCTCGGGATGAGCCGTACAACGCGAGGCGGAGTGTGGGGCCAAGCAGGGACGTCGGTGGAGGACGTCGAGGCCTCAGGGAGCAGCACCCGAGGGGGAGTAACGGTCATTGGTACCTGCCAGACCAATCTGGGCTCAAAACCTCTTTCCAATCGGCATACGGACTATGGAACAAGCTCCCCGTGGAGGGGGTGCGATTGCCAACCTTAGAAATCCTTGAGAGGAGACTGGACTATTACTTTACCAGGGTCGTGTGACCCCCGGTTGCGTTTGCTATTGGGGCCAGAGGCTGCACCCAACAATCTTCCCAGGTTACTGACAGCTACGGAATAAGCCCCAGGCACAACAGGGCCTCGCTGCCCATGTCTCACCGCTTCCCCATGCGCCCTGTGCGTGCGGACAGCGATTAGCGCTCTGCGCTCTTGGCAAAGAACAGACGCGAGGGCCGACTCCTGGCGCTGCCTGACTGCAGAGTCCACCTGGGTTCCTTCAGGCCTTGTCAGTAGAGATGAGGGTAAAAGCTCGTATGGGGTCTCGTGCCTGGCGGATCCCCAAGGTGCTTTGTTCCCGTGCGTTTCTTGCCCCCAAACCAGGCGGGCACTGCATCCGTGCTGCCTGTGCCCTGCGGGAGGCACAAAGATGTCTCCCACCTTCTGGGCTGCCCTGCCCGAGCCGAAGTCAGCGGGTGTCTGACCCACTGTGCCAATGTGTGCTTTTTTTAATGTGCCTTGTGACCTCTGGTGCAACAGTCTTGCTGCCAGAGGGACCCTGAGCATGGCTTAGTCTGGCCGTCTGCACGATTGTGGCGCAGAGCCTGGCTTGTGGGTGGCTGTTGCGGTTGCAAGCTCTAGGTTGGCTTCTGTTTCAGGACCTTGCGGCTCTTGCGGGAGAACTTGGAAGAGGAGGCCATCATCATGAAAGATGTTCCGGGCTGGAAGGTCGGTGCCTCGGTTGGCAGCCCAGGGAGGGAGGGAGTGGGGTCCGCAGCTGGCTGCAAGAGCTGCTGCGATCCCCGTGTGCGTTGGGAGCGCCCTGAAAGGCCCCTGCAGCCTGCTGCTGCTTTAGTTTGCTCCGAACTTTTCCAACAGGCTCCGGCCACCTGCGTTGGAGGCAGTGCCAGGAGCCAGCCGGTCGCAAGGGGCATCTGAGCCCCAGCTTGTTGCATGGGAGCAGGGTCCTGGAAGAGCTGTATTCCCTGGGGGGCAGGAGCCGCAAGCTCTGAGCCCAGAGCCGTGCCACAAGCAATCTGTGCAGCAATGCCTGGAAGGGGGGGGGCGCTGATGTGTTTTGGGGTCTCCACGTTGGAGCTGCAGCCGCATGGGGGAGAGTTGCCCCACCTGCATGGGGCAGCCGGTCTCTGCTGCCACTGCCAGTGCAGGGTGGGGGGAGCCACTTGAGGCTGACCAGCCCACAGGGTCTCAAAGCAAAGCAGGTAGCAGGCTCCCCTCAGCTCTGATGTCAGTGGCAGCGTTTGAGGGGCTCCTGGGCCACGATAACACGCTTTCTCCCTCTCCGCAGGTGGGCGCATCCGTGTACCACACTGACCGCTGGGTGACCCCGTCTGCAGCTGAGCTGTATTACCTCCGGCCAAAGGAGGAGTTTGAGAATGCCGTGCATGGCTTTCACTGGTATGTCTGAGGCCTGGAGGCAGGAGGTCTCTGTGGTGCGAGCAGCAGGGTCTGCGGGATGCACGCTGTCCAAGGTCTGCGTACTGCAGCGTGTGACATTAAACAGTCTGGAAATGAGACGTGGTGCAGGTCTTTCGCTAGGGCTGCTTCTCTCCTCACACCCAGCCGAAGCCTCCTGCTTTAACGGGCTCTGGGTGAAGCAGTTCCAGCTTCACCCGGCCCCTTGCTCTCTCCTGCCAGTTCAGCCACACACTCCTCCAGGGCAGGGGAAAGGGAGCTCGGAGCTGCGGGATGCATCAGCCTTGCTGATCTGGGTCCCAGGGTTTGCGCTGACCCTGTTCAGGGCCCTTTGACAAAGGGAAAGCTGCCGTGGGTCCTAATCGCCTTCACTTCTTGACAGGCTTTGAACAGCCCCAGCTCTGGGCTGCCCTGACAGTCAGACTCTGTATCGTTGGGGGAATCGCGTCAATAATCCCTGCACTGTTCAAATCATTGTCCAGGGCACTGGGTCAAGCCAGTCAGCTGGAACAACCTTTATAGCTTGAGACGAGAAACTAACAAAACACGAAGGTGGGATGGGACCTCCGGAAGTCGCATCTAGTGCAACCCTCTGCTCCAACCAGGACCAGCCCTAGCTACATCATCCCAGCCAAGGCTTTGTCTACCAGGGTCTTAAACACCTCCAAGGATGGAGACTCCATAACCTCTCTGGGGAGCCTGTTCCAGTGCTTCAGCATCCTCCTCATGAGAGAGCCTTCCTAATATCCAACCTCAACTTTCCCTTGCTGCAGTTTGAGCCCATTTTGCTCCTTGTTCTGTCACCTGCCCCCACTGACACCAGCCCAGCTCCATCTTCTTTGCAGGGAGTTGAAGGCTGCTATTCAACCCCCCTTGCCTCACAAGTCACGTCCCCCATCTCCCAAGCCATTTTTGTCCTCTGTTGGCATCTCTCCAATGTGTCCACATCCTTTCAATTGTAGGGGGCCCCACAACTGGAAACAGGACTCCAGATGTGGCCTCCCCAGTGCAGAATGGAAGGGAAAGAGGTCTTGTGAACCGGGGCTCCCAGAGCCTTGGGCACTGCCAGGGCTTGGTGCCTGCTCACGGCACAGAGAGCATTTGACCCTTGACTGTGGTGAGGGAACGGGCCCCGGCCCTGGCTGAGCCCATCCTCCAGGGCTGCTGTAGACCTGCAAGGCAAGCCGTTTGGACTGGGTTCATAGATTCATAGATGTAGGGTCGGAGGGGACCTGAGCAGATCATCTAGTCCGACCCCCTGCCCTGGGCAGGAATGAATACTGGGCTTATATGATCCCTACTAAGTGTGAGCTCAAATGACCCCAGCTATGTAGTTATCAAGCCTTTTAAAGACCCCCGGGGTAGGAGCCAGCACCACTTCCCTTGCAAGCTGATTCCAGATCCTAGCTGTCCTGACAGTGAAGTAGCACCTCCTGATGTCTAGCCTGACCCTCCTCTCCATCAGCTTGTGGCTGTTATTCCTTGTTACTTCGGGAGGTGCTGGGGGGAACAGGGCCTCTCCCATTCCCCGCTGGTCCCTCTGGTAAGCTTGTAGACGGCCACGGGATCCCCGCTCAGCCTTCTCTTGTGGAGTTCTGAACAGGTTCAGGTCCCGTCACCTCTCCTCGTAGGGCCTGCCCTGCTGCCCCCCTGATCGTGCGAGTGGCCTCCTCTGGACCCTCTCCATGCTGTCCACATCCCTCCTGAAGTGCAGCGCCCAGAACTGGATGCAGTACTCCAGCTGCAGCCTGACCAGTGCCGCATAGAGGGGGAGGATCACCTCCTTGGCCCTGCTTGAGATGCATCTGTGGATGCATGACAAGGTGCGGTTGGCCTTCCTGACTGCATCCCCTCGTTGGCGGCCCATGTTCAATTTGGAGTTGATAATAATTTGAAGATCTCTTTCTGCCATTGTGCTTTCGAGAAGGGAGTTCCCCAGCCCATGGGTATGCTGCTGGTTCTTCAGGTGCATCACCTTGCACTTGTCAGTGTTGAATCCCATCCTGTTCTCATCTGCCCACCCCGTAATCTGTCCAGGTCCAGCTGTACCCCATCCCTCCCTTCTAGCATGCTCACCTCGCCCCAGATCTTGGTGTTGTCCTTGAATTTGAACAGTCTGCTCTTCATCCCCTCGTCCAAGGTGCTAATAAAGAGATTGAGCAGTGCAGGCCCGAGGACCGAGCCCTGGGGACTCCGCTGCCCACATCCCTCCAGGTCGAAAATGACCTGTCCACCACCGCTCTCCGGGTGTGGCCCCCTAGCCAATTTGCGACCCATCTCACTGTGTAGGCATCAATGCCGCAGTCATCTAGCTTTTGAATGCGAATGGGGTGGGAGACAGTGTCGAAGGCCTTCCTGAAGTCCAGAAAAACTACATCCACCACGACACCTGCATCCAATGATTAAATACGTCCTCACACTGCATGGAGGGAAGGGCCTTTCTACCTCAGTCACCCAGGGGGCAAGTCTCCAGGCAGGGGCTGGGAGCGGCTTCCAGAGCCCGTGTCCCGCAGGAGGAGGAGAGGCTTTACCTCCCTGGCACCTGGCTCCATTCTCTGCCCTGAGCATTTGTGGATGGCTTGACTGCCTGCAGTGGAGCCCAGCAGGAAGGTGGCAGCAGCCCCAGGCACCGGGGGGCTCTGAAGCCGGTGCGGCAGCCAGCACCAGCTGCCCAAGGCCTAGCGGTGGCACTTGGCTGGGAGCCACCTGGCAAAGCCCAGGCCTTGAGATCCCTGCCTGGGGCTGCGCGCCCTCGCAGGCAGCTGTGTGGTTGCTAAGTAATCCTGGCTGGCAGCACAGGGGCCGCCAGCGTGCAAGGGAAAACCAGCGCAGGGAAAGGCCCGGCAGGAGCAGCTGCACGGGCCTGAGCCAGGGGCCTCCTGGCTGCCCACCCAGCGGGCAGCAAAGGTGCAACCTGCCCTGTGGCCTTTGGCAGCTGCAGAGGCTGATTAAAGAAGCTCTCTGGGGTGGCGAGGTGGGAGCTGAGCGGTGCATCAAAGGTGTTGCTGCTGGAGCCATGGGAAGCCGCAGCGTGCTGCCGAGTGCTTCCCAGCCCGGGCAAAGCCTTCAGAGGTGTCTGCAGGCTGCAAGGGGTCCTGGGGCTTGGGCAGGGCACGGCCAGCCCTGGAGGCTGTGCCCACTGTGGGGGCTCCTGGCCTGCGGAGCTGCACAGCAGTAGGACTCCTGTTTGCATGCTCCCAGCAGGCAGCTGGAGACCTAGCCCAGATTGTGTCCCCTCTCTAATGGGCAGCCATGGCCCCCTGGTCACAGGGCAGCTTGCTGGGCACAGCAGCCTCTTGCCACCGCGCCTGAAGCCTGCTACTAGAAGAGTGCAGCCCTGCCGGCCCAAGCCTTGGGCAGGGACTGCATGTGGGAGCTGCCCGGGCAAGGCTTCCTAAGAGAGCAGGGCGCAGGCCATGCAAAGGGCCTGTCCGCTCCGGCAGCTCCTGTCCTGTATGGGGTGCTCCGTGGTGCTGAGCTGCTCGCCCCGCTCCCGGGCCAGGGTTCCTTGCACAGCTGACCTGTGCCCTGGGGGGCCAAGCGGGCAAGGAAGGGATTGGAGCTGGGGAAGGAGAGCGGGTGTGTGGGGCCAGCTCAGACGCGTCTGCCTTGAGCTGCGGTGCAGTCATGACCCCCCGCTCATTGCACCCTAAACCCCGGCATCCATCGCACTGGTTGGAGCCTGGCTCGTGAGCGGCTGCCTGTGCAAATGCTTCTGGCTCTGGTTCAGCAGAGTCTCGGGCTGAGCGCAGCTCCAGGCGGGTGTGGGTGCAGCCTGGCAAAGACCAAGAGCAAGACTCTGCCCTCCCAAGGACCTGACAGCCAAGGTGGCAGGATCAAGTCTTCCTTCTGTGGGTGAGGGAGTCATGGTGGGGATGGGCATTACAGGGGGACAATTCCAGGGTGCAGCCAAGATCGGCACTGCACAACTGCCCTTCCTGGCAGCTGGCGCAGCTGCGGGGGCCCAGGAGAGGCGAGGTCTCCCCCTGCCCATGGCAAACCACAGGCATGCTCCACCCTGGCAATGCCAAGCTGTGGGGCGTGAGCAGAGGATGCGTGTGCCAGGAGAAGGGTTGCACCCCTGCCCCCTTGCACACCCCGAGCCCGCTGCAGGAGTCTCAGATGGAGCCGAGCAGGGCCCTGAAACACCCACGTGGCTGCCCCGGCCCAAAGGCTGCGCAGGCCAGCTGCTGTCTACAAGGGGCACAGCAAAGCATGAGGGCACCGCGGGGAGGTCTCGCACGCCCAGCCGGCCCACATGCCTCCCCAAGCCAGATGCTGGGGGCACCCTGTGGCGGGTGCAGAGATCCCACCTCAGGAACACAGCTGGGTATTCATATCCCTCCGCTGTTTCCACCAC